CCATTTGAAGTGTGGATAACTCTTCACGGTGGCGCTTCTCAGTACTACGAACACCATCTGTTACAGCGCGTTCTGCCTGTTCCGCCCGCTCTTTTTCTCTGGATAAGCTTTCATTGAGTGTATCAATGGTTTTTCTTAGATCAGCGATCTGTTGAATGTTTTTGGTCTCTTGGTTGAACTGTTGTTCAATTGTATACTTTAGAGCGACGAGTTGCTCTTGGTGTTCTTGTTCTAGATCAGCAAGTGTTCGTTTTCCTGCTTTAATCTGTGCTGCTGGAGAATTTTGATTCATTTCTCTTAGAGCCTGTCGAAGTATTCTTACTTGGGTTTTCAGTGCTTCATGCTCTTCCATATCGACAGTCTTCTCTTTACCGCTTGCCATTGTGTTTTGAGCACTGCGGAGTTGATCAAGTGAAAGCTGAAGAGACTTCTTCGTATTTTCTTCTTTTTGCAGATCCTCTTTTGCATTTTCTAATTCCTTTTCTAATTCCGCTGTTTTTCTACATTCTTCTTCCAAATCTTGCTTGAGGGCCTGGTTATCGTTTTGCAGCTTCTTCATACTTTCTTCATTTAGTATGAACTCATGATTACGCTTTTCCGCGTTATTTTTGAGTGTATTAATTTCTTCTTGAGCAGTGTGTAATTTCTGGAGTGTCTCCTCCTGTTCTTTGCGTAATGTTTCAAGCCTTTCTACCACTTCCTGTAATTCTTGATGGTCTTTTTCGTCACTAGCGACTGATGCTAACTGCTGTTCAGAGGACCACACATCATCGCCAGGATCCACTTCACTTAGCGTTCTGCTTACGCATATACTTGTACTGCTGGAACCGCCTCCAAAATGATTGATGATGGATTTCCACAGCTTTGCCGTACGATGTGTTATTGCTGCTGCCTTTGGAGAACCGTTTGGAAGTGCGAGATATGCAGAGAGTGCCGTTAGAGCTGTATGTGTTTCTGTCATGGCACTAAAGATGTTTTGTTCCTTATTCACTGTTAAGGCGTATTGAGCATTTCGTAAAGCTGCATCAATACGTACCTCAATTTCATGTCGACGAGCGTCTGTATTACTACTCATCTTATGTAAAGACGACTTTTTTTTTATTTTTTAATTTCTTCGTATTTAACTGTTTTTTTTTTTTTTTTCGTGCTGCTCTTTCTATTTCTATGAACAGTTTTTCCGTTTCAAAGATTTGAAACGAACTAAACACAGAGAGAAAATAAGAGAGAAAGAGAGAGAGATATTAAAGAAAGACACACAGATATAAGCAAGAAACGAAAAGAGCAATTATTTGTGGGTGTATTTCTGTACATTCCATAAGTGTAGATAGAAAAAGAAAATTGTACAACTGGGGAAGGAGACCGCTATATAGAGAGAAAGGGAGAAAAAAGAAAAAAAAAACTGAAAGGGAACAATATGTGAGTCTAACTATCTGATTACCACTCATCATACAGATATTCACATATATTTACAACTCATCGTGTAAAAAAAAAAAATAAATAAATAAATAAATAAATATGATTTCCGATAAACTTGTGGTGTTTGAGTCATTATCACACACCTTTTACCTTTTGTGTAGTAGCCGTATACTTTTCTAACTTCATCCGAGCCACCATTTCTTCTTCTGCTAGCAACATCATTACTTCATCTGTGATATTCGCACTACGTCCATCAAAAGAGTATGAATCATCCAATTCATCCATATGTCTGCGCAGACTTAATGATGTTGACGCAAGATTCACCTTCGGAAGTTTTGGTACTCCTGTTGCTGTTTTGATTTGAATAGATGTAGAGATCCACTGCAGAAGAATTGTTTCCATCTCAGCATGTTCTTCATGTATTAACGATATATATGCAGCAAGCGCATTATTGAGATGACATTGTCGTTGTGCCTCCAATTCCACTAAGTCAGCTGCATTTGTACTTAATGTAGAAGAGAGTTGTGTCCTCACATTTTCCCGAAGAGTTTCCCAAGAAATAGTGGTATGCTCAACCCCCAATGGGTGTTCATCATCATAATGATGATCATCACTACAGTTAGAGTTACTTGGATGCCGGGTAGTTAATTCAATACATTCTTCTCCAATAAGTTCCTCTACACGATGTACCCATTCAGGAACGATATTTTCCACCGTAACATTCCCATCATTCTGTTTTTCATTCAACGTATTATGGGAAGAATAAGGCCGTACTAATTGTGTTTCATCACGGTTAAAGAAAATGGAGTAAACTCCTCCCATAAGTTCAAGCATATAGCAACAACATTCATTATTATCTGCCTTATCCGTTAGATATCGTCTAAACCCCGTTACTGCTTCAATGATATCACTAAAAACAATTACCTCTATTGTCGTTTTATCCGTATCTCTAAACTTACCATCACAAGAGGAATGACTATGAATATCGTCTGGGAGAAAAGTGAGAGTAAGAAAAATGTTTGCATGTGTGAAAACAATACTCCCTGAATAGAGATGATTCATATCATGTTCTTGGCTTGAGTTCTGCAGTTGATGCGATGACAATGAGGAGAAGTTGTGTAATTGACGGTAAAATACAACAGGAAGGTAAAGGAGATAAGGATCTTTACTTTCGTCTAACTCCAGACAGACTACATTATTATTCGCAGGAGTGCAAGCCATATTCCGGTAGATGTTCATATCGTTAATAAATGTGGAAATGTGTTCCTTGGGTCAATAATTCATTTACATGTGTACAACGTAGTAGTCCAAACAAAATATACACAGTGAAAGCAAAAAGAAGAAACCAAAAAAAAAAAAAAATAAAAATAAATGTGGAAAGTGACGGTGTATAATAATTAGACAGTTCACAGATACAATATGATTGGTGCTGCAAAAGGTTATTAAATTAAAAACAGAAAAAAAAAAGCATAAATACCAATAATCTTTATGAATATTTTTTTTTAATCAGCAGTAGTTATCAAGTAATTCTGAAGAAAAACAGGAAAACATTAACAATAACAACAGCACCATCAGAATAGAAACCAAAAAAAAAAAAAAGAGAACACAAAAACACAAATGGTTTTACAGTTTCGGTGGTAATGCCCCAACAAAATGTCCATCCGGTGTCCACTGTGGCTTTGTCTTCTGCGATTCATAATATTTCTTCGCCTCTAATCTTCGTCGGTTGAGTGATTTGAGTTTTCCCTTTACATACTCCCTTTTCTTCTCTTCAGCAGAGTTCTTCGGTAGTGAGATACTCGGTGCTGACTCCAGTGCGAAACTCTTAGCGAGACCCAACAAATCCAGTCGATCTATACAAAAAGTTTCCTTCAATAGATGACTCTGGTAAGCCCCTACGTGGGCTCTGTATGCACTTACAGCACTCTTCGCAACAATAGGATCCAATTGAAGAACATGTTCTAGTTTCATTTGAATTTTTGGTAATTTCTCCGGCATTGGATACTTCTCAAGTGTAATACCAAACTTGGAGAGATAGCGAACGAAACCAACTTCTTCTGGTGTGAGAAAAAGAAGAGCATTACCAACATTACCAGCACGTGCTGTTCGTCCAATACGATGAATATACTCCGTAGGATCAAGTGGTGGATCATATTGTAAAATCCATTCCACATTAGGAATATCAAGACCACGTGCAGCCACATCTGTACAAAACAATACACCCGTTTCCCATTCATTAAAGGCTTGAAATGCAGCCACACGTTGACGGTGTTTCATATGTCCATGAAGCATCATAACTTCATTATGAAATCCTACAGAACCCATCATTTGAAAATGAAAGGTTGTGCTGGCTATAGTAGAACAAAAAACCATCGCCTTTGATACTCTAGCTATTCGCTTTACAAAGGTATAAAGATAAAGCATACGCTTTTCAACTGGTGTTATGTGACAGAATTGACGTAAACTACTTGGAATTGGCTCCGCATCACCATCTGCATGTGTAGATGATGGACTTGATTCTCTTGATGTATTTAACTCCTGCTCTTCATTGTCACTAGTTGGGTCTTCATAGGAACTGTAAGGGGGAAGTAAAGTAGAAGTTGATGATTCATTATTATTATTGTTATCATCACCTGGTCTATCCACTTGAACCATTGTTGGTGCATTTCCAGTAGTTGCAATAAACAACGGTGTACGCGATAGTGATAGTCGTGCCAATTCTCGAACAGACTTGGAATTCGTTGCGGAAAACAAAAGTGTTTGACGAGAATGCGGTAGACGCTGAACAATCGCATCCAGATCCTTTTGAAAACCATCTGCCAACATACGATCTGCCTCATCTAGTACAAGAAAACGAATTCTTGCAAGATCCCAGTTGGTACAGTGTTTTACATGATCGTGTATACGACCAGGAGTTCCAACTACAATAGAGATACCTGCAGCTAATAACCGACGTTCTTCTGTTATCTTTGTACCACCAGTAATAAGTTGAACAGAAAAATTAGCCACATCTCCTGGAATGTGTTGACAAATACTTTTCAACACATCATTTGTCTGAACACAGAGTTCTTTCGTTGGAGCGAGCATTAAACTATATGTCGCATTTGGACGTTTGTGAACAAGAGAGATAATCGTATGAAGAACAGGGACGCAGAAAGCGAGTGTCTTTCCAGATCCTGTCTTTGCCTGTCCGAGGATATCATACCCTTGTAAAGCATAGGGAATTACACGTTCTTGAATAACTGTCATGCGGTTAAATCCCTCAGATTGTAAACCATTCACAACAGTTGAATCAATACCCATAAGTGGATGTCCAAAAGGTGCACCTTTACCAGTAGAACGTCGACGTTCAAGTAATCGTTCTTCTTTACTTTTTCCAGACATTTTACTATTATTAGAAACTTGTACAAGTTCTTCTAAAGCTTCTTCAGTGTCAAAGTGATGTTGTAGTAATTTCTCCGTTTCTATTACAGCTTCTTCTTCATTAATAGTTCGTTTTTGTTTAGACAAATGACTGGTACGACGGTTTCCATGCTCTTCGGCAATACGCTCAAGATATTCCATATCCTGCATATTAAAATAGTCAGTTTTTTTCATGCATAATCTACCTTGGGAATCCACAGGAGCTCGCATAGGTCCATCGCCCATTACTACAACATTCTCGTTGAATTCATCTCCATAGTCTTCAGACCATTCTTCATCCTGCATTCCATTATCAGTCATATCAGCAGCTTTGGCCTCCCGTTCGCGGAGACGCTTTCTTCTACCTTTAATGCCCATCTTTCTCTCTTCTTCTTCTTCTTCTTCTTCTTCTTCTTCTGTGTCTATGTGCCTATGTGTGAGTGTGTGTGAGTGTGAGTGTGTGTTGGGAAGGCACAGGTAAATTCGTAACGAAGGTCTGAAAGGAGAGGATGAGAAAAAAAAATAGGAAGAAGTAAAGGAATTAGATATAAAAATGCATTGAGTTTCACAGATACATGCATAATCACAAAGAGACAGATGTATACACATGTTCATTTTCTTTTTTCTTTTTTTTTTTTCCTGTCAAACAGAAAACAGTGTTTGCCTGTAAGCTTATAACCAGTAAGGTACGAAAAGATAAAAGAAAAAGCAAATAATGGTATTTACTATTTTTTTACAGTAGTAGTGACACCATCTTTTTCTTCCTTTTCTTCGTTATCGTCTACAAATAGACTAATGTACAACACGCCAGTTTTCATTGCCATTCCTTTACGGAGTAAAGCAGCGAGCCGTGCTGAAGACCCTTTCAGCGAAACTGCCTGCCAGACAAACCAACCTTCTCTACACTTCACTGCACACATGTCTTCAGCTGCCAGTGGAAAGTATGCGCTTCCCGGTTGGACATGACTTTTTACGTTACAACAGTGATCCGTATTCATCGCCTTTGTGGAAATAGAAGCAGAAGTGAGATTATCATTTCCGGCATCTATTAATTCCAACTCCCGCACAACCGCGTTAGGGATATCCTTTGGATGCACAGCATTTGTGAAGGCACAGCTGATAAGAAGATGCCGGTGAAGGTGACTGTGGTCCTCCACGGCGAACATCATCTCTTCCACTGTCCCACTGCCATCATTTTCACTATTTATTGATATTGAAGAAGTTAACACATTAACTTCTTCCTCATTTTTTTCTTGAGATGACAACTCATTTTGTTGTCCATGATGACAGATTTTCTTTTTAATTTTTCGAGCCGCACGAAGTAGTAATCTTTTTAATAATTGCTCTTTTACAGGTGTAGCCCCTTTATCAAGTATCGCATTAACTGTTGGAGTGTAGTACTCACCACCTACAAACGCTCGCCATGTCCCGTAAGCTTCCTCTGATGTCATGGTATGCCATTTAATCATAGCTCTATCTTTACAGAGTAGTGGGGCATGATATGGATCTTGTTTATAATGAACATTGTAATTTTGTGGCCATGAAGAATTCCATTTAGCATCAAAACAATGAGGCCATGTACACATAGTAGTACTTGACACATCCTTCACTATATCTGTAGTGACCTCTTCTTCATTCAACTCCGCATCCGCATTCAAAGTAGATGAACTACCAAATAGACATTCACAAAGTCCTATTCCTCCTAGTTTTGTTACAAGAGGAAAATACTCACAAATAGTCATTTCACGCGGTATGAGAATAGACTTTTGCCAAAGAACATCTCCTGAATCCATTAGTCGCTGATGTGGAGGTAATTTAATAACACTTACACCACCTTCTGTGTCATTACGGAGCAATGGGGCAAATATGGGACTAGCTCCACGATATCGTGGTAATAGAGATGGATGAACGTTAATTGTACGAGGTAGACGTTCTAACAACACGTTAGGGAGAAAATAGCGAAATGATACTACAACAGCAACATCAAATGCCTCTAATGGTTGACCTGCAATGTATTGATCTTCTTCTCCAATTTCAAGGACGCTACTCTTACCGTTGTTATGCTGTTCGGCGATATGCCATGGATGAAGAAGATACTGAAGTGTACCACTACGTGTTAATGAGGTTGGGTGATCAACAGGTACAAGCGGAATGTTATGCTCTACGCAATAGCGCGCCACTGGATACTGTCGGTGGTGTCGTTGGGAAATAGCATCCGGAGCAGCAGGCAAAAAAGGACAAACTACAACAAGCTGTTGCTTTTTCCCAGTATATACCGTATTTGAAGATCCTGAAGAGCTAGAGGACGTTGTTCCTGTTGTTGCTGTTTTGGATGATGATAAAATAGCTTGAAGTTGTTCATGCAAAGCCTTAAGGGCTACCAGTGACACTATATCTCCACCAAAAAATATGATAGAAGGAACCTTAACTACATTACTCTCCTTCTGGTTTGAATTATCGATTCCACTACTGTTATTTTTGCATGGACCAGTGTTTTTAGTAGTGCTACAACAATGACGAGAGTAGCCGGAGAAACATTGTAATATGAACACACGTTTCATTAATATGGCCCGGCGCACTACGACATCACTACTGTTATTCAATATACGGTACTGCATGGGGAATGTGAGAAAGCAAAACACACACACACACACAGAGAGAGAGAGAGAAAGTGTGTATGTATGTGTACCACGAGAAAAATTTTTTTGCTGCTCTTTATGTGAAGATGGAATAACAAGGGAACCCTTCAAAGAAGAGAACCCTTGATTCCCTAATGATGACCTTCTGAAGTACCCCTACAGAAAGGCAAAACAAACAAACAAACAAACAAACAAACGGTTAAAAAAAAATTGTACGGTGTACTTGCATTATCCAAAGAAAAAAGAAAACAAGGAGAGGAGGAGGAGTAGTAGTAGTAGTATAGAAAGGTGGTGAAGGGGGTAAAAGAAATCAGGACTGTCATAATTTTAAAAAGGTATAAGGGTGGCAATAATGCAGTTTTTTTACTTGTATAACTGCAAAAGTAATTTAACATAAAATAGTGAATAATATAAATATCAGAGACCGTAAAACAACACATCAATTAATTCGTATCTTCAGAATCTCCTTTTTGCGATCTTCGTAGAAACAGAAATAAGGAAATAGAAAAACAAGATATCTGAGAGCACCCCTTGTTTTTTTCTTTTTTTACTCTTTCTTTTTTTTTCTTGTTGTGATTAAGTGGTTTACTCCAGTTCATCCTCTTTTGGTAAAGAAGATGGGGCATCCTCATCATCCGAGTCGTCGTTACTCGCTTTAGCATCTTTGTCCACCAGTTCCCACCACGAGGTGGGTTCTTCCTTCACAAGTCGAAGAACAATCTGCCCCGTAGCATCCTTTATCTTGTAACTGCTTTCATTCGCTTTAATAGTCTTGGAAAGACGGAGAAGAAGTTGTTTCTTTCGTTGTACCACCTCAGTTGCAGATTTCTCCACATTTGCCATGTACACCACAGTTAGCTTTCGCTTGTTAAACACCACTTCCAACGTATCGGGTGCCATGGTTTCTTTCCCATCCAACTTTGTATCCACATAAACAGTAACAGCCTTCTCTCCATCGCCCCAACTGTACTTGGTGATAGGGTAAGTCATTACAGCTGCGGAGGGGGAACTCTCATCTGTTTTATTCACCAACACTGGCTTTGGCATTGGTGCAACATCACCCACTTTGGCCCGCTCCTTCTCATGACCATGCCAGTAATAATACAAATTGGCATTCTTCTTCTTCCCTGACTCGCCACCCACTTGTGGTTTCCCAGCTTCTTGCTGCAATTCTTCCTCCTGTTTCTCTGGGTCTGTATGGGATACCACCTCCGCAGCAGACATGTCTTTACCAGAAGTGTCTTTACTTTTTTGTAGTATAAAAAAAGCAAAAAAATTACTAGGCATAGAATGGCAAAAAAAAAAAAATAATAATAATAATTACAAAATAAGTAAGCAATAAGGCAAAAAAAAAAAAAAAACACGCATATATACGTACATATAAAGTATCTTTCAAAAAGACTCACAAAAGAAGAAGAAAAACAAAAATGATAACAACTTGTTACCAATCACTCCATTTGTCATCATCATCTTCCTCCAACACAACCTGTTTAGACTGAACAGCATCAACCCTAGCAGGAGAAGAAGGCTTTGAAAAATGAACCTCCTCTTCATCAAAATCATCATCACCCCATCCATCATCTTCATTACTAACACCACCACGTAAATTTGGTGCCTCATTTTTTGAAGCTTCTTCCACAGCGCGCATGGAAATCATATAATCACGTGCTAAAAGAAGAAAATCATCTTGCTGAGCACGTGAAATCTTAACCCTTGCAAGACATTCATCATGTTCAAGTGGCCCCAACAAATCAGGTGAGAGAGAGAACCCACCATCAAACAGAGAAGCAGAATGATCTTGCCTACTTACTCCACTCGGCCGAAGTTTTTTATCAGCCAGCCTACGTGCTTCTTGTTCCTCAGCCAGCCTACGTGCTTCTTGTTCCTCAGCCAGCCTACGTGCTTCTTCTGCCTCAGCTAGCCTTCTTGCTTCTTCCTCAGCCAGCCTTCTTGCTTCCTCTTCAGCTAGCCTACGTGCTTCCTCTTCAGCCAGCCTTCTTG